TAGGAAAATGTTGTGTTAGTTGTATTATTATATCTCTGTATTGGCTAACTACTAAAAAATATGTAAATATGTCGGTGTATTGTTGCAGTCGGTAACTAATTGCCTTTCTTCTGTAGTTAGCTCATAAATATAAACTTACATACATACATACATATTTGTATTGCATATGTGTGCGCTCATATATTTACATAGGTTCTTATTTTATTATTATTATTATTTACAAAAAATATACATAAATTCATACATATATGGATCATCATTATATGATTGTAGTTAATATTCGTAATTTTGCTTGTTCTTTGGCTTCTTTTCGGTTTTTTTTTTTTTTTGTTTGTTTGTTTGCTTTTTTGAAGGCTGGTGGGTTCACTTTCTTTTGTATGTATGTATAAGTATGTATATATGTAACTGCGTTAATAGGAGACTTGAGAGTGAGTATATTCCCTGATTTCATTTACTATATGGCAATATGTATTAGTTGTATGTATATGTATATTCGTGTTTTATGCAGCTGCGCATTATACTACGTAACAAAAATTAAAAAAAATTAAAAATCGGGTAACTTGGGACGTCGATGAGTACAAGTTGAGAGTTTAGTCGAATGTTTAAAAAAAAATTGTGTATTCAAAACTCCAAATAAACACCCCAAAAGCTGGACTTAACCACGAAAAGCAGTTATTTTTTAAGTGGTCATATACAGATGCTATCAACTAATTAGCAACGAAATTCAAAATGATATTGTTTGCAAATTATGTTTATTTATTTATTTTTAATAATTTTAATTTAAAATATAATTCAATCTATAACAGAAACCATAGTAATAAAAGTATAAAAGCTTGCACAAATTGCAAAAAAAAAATGAATCAAACTTCAAGCAATTGTCATCAAAATTTCAAAATTTTTAATTAGAATATTTAGAAAATTTTCGGGTATGCAGTTTTGTAGCCCATTAAATTGTAGTCACTGACAGCCACTTCAACCTAAATTGTAGTCTCATAAAGTGCAAGTTTCTAGTCGTTAAAAATTACCATTGATTTTTTAGAATTTCTTTTTGTGAAGGGTGTTGCGCATGATCAAAATTTGTTTATAAGAAAAAATCAGCAACACCCTCCACAAAACAAAATCTTCAAAATCAACGTTAATTTTTAACAACTTGAAACTTGCACTTTCGTATACTACAACTGAATGGGCTACAAAACTGCATACTGGAAAATTTTCAAAATATTCTAATTAAAAATTTTGAAATTTTGATGACAATTGCTTGAAGTTTGATTAATTTTTTTGCAATTTGTGCAAGCTTTTAAACTTTTAATATTGTGGTTTCTGTTAAAGATTGAATTATATTTTATATGAAAATTATTAAAAATAAATAAATAAACATAATTTGCAAACAATATCATTTTGAATTTCGTTGCTAATTAGTTTATCGCATCTGTAGGTATTATGTATTTGTCAGAACGAAAAATGATTCTGAAGCTGGCACAACGCCGAAACCGGTTTTTCTCCAAAGCAAAATTGGCACTGCCTGACGGAAATTCGTTTCAAATCGTATCGTAAGCCTACCTTGTCGGAAAAGGACTACTAGTAGTAAATAAACGTTATCTCTCTTTTTTCGGCGAGCAGAGTCTTTGAGTATTTAGAACCTTCTCTTACAATTAAATAATTACGAATCGAAAAATTCGGCCTTTATTTTTTTATCTTTTCACACCAAATTGTATGCCATATTTTTTTCGATACGATAAGAATAAAATATAAGTAATAAAATAAATTCCAAGTATAGAGTTTTTTTGATAAAAAAAAGTAAATTTAAAAAAAATCGGAAAACTAAGGATCACATAAAATATGTAAGCGACATTTTTTCAAAATTTTATTGTTGATGCAGAAATGTTCCTATAGTACCAAGATGCATTTCTGCATCATAAATAAAATTTTGAAAAAAATATCGCTTACATCTTTTATATGATCCTTAGTTTACCGATTTTTTTTTTAATTTACTTTTTTATCAAAAAATACTCTTTAAAACTCGATACAATAACTGTTCGAAAAAAATCGCGAACAAATTTATTAATAAATTTTATCTCAGTGGTGATATTTGTTTTAACCCTTTCCGTATCGAAAAACTTTCACGGTAAGCTATAAATCTAAAAGTTTTTATTTCAGGAAAAGTTTTTTTGTAGAAATCTTATTGTTCAAAAGTTATAGCTTGCCGGATATATTTGACATTGCACCTCAATTCTTAAAACCACAAATAAACAATTAAAAATCACTAAGTTGAATTCAGCTTTATTTCCGTATGGTTTCAGTAAAATATAAACAAAAAACATTGGTTTTGATTTTAAAAACACTAAAACGCGAGAAAAACTATAAAAACTAATTTTGCTACAACTAATTTCTAAAATGCTACTAAAAAAAACTTCCAAAGAAAATAGGATACATACAAAATGAAAAATAGGAAGGGGGTTAATCAGTCACATCTTAGTAGCAGCCATATGAAATGCCGAATAAATTCGACAAATCCAAGGAAAGAGTAATTTATAATTTTCCCTTTTAATATTAACAAAAATTTTAAGTCCAAAAGGAACTATGATTTTTGATAAAAAAAAAACAATATTTTACATATAAAAATCGAAAGACCTTTATCGAAAAATGAGAATCCTAAAAAAATACGGTTCGACATAAAAATTTTATCTGCGATAAGGCTAGCTATTATTGATAGATTTTGCGTCGCTGAATTCGAATCTGAACCCGGAATCGCTATATCAAATCAGCTTTTTTAAATATCCTAAGCTAAAACTTCGAAAACTGCGACTATGGCGTTTTTTCGAGGCTACTTAACAGAATGACGGTTTCGTTTCTATAAAAGCTATACAAAGCATTTTAAAGAATATCTCTTGTCTTTTCAAATGACGTTGCGTTTGCTCGAATATCTTATTTGTCAACTAGTTTGAAATTTTCACATCTCCTTAATTCAAATTTCTCTGTGCAAAAAAAGATGTTTGAGCAAACCTAACGGCATATGATTGAGCAAGAGATATACCTTAAAGTGCTATGTACATATACAGTTACTCCCAAAATTGAGTGTACGACTCTTTTTTGTTAATATTCACAATATTTTACATGCTAAAATTTTTTTGTTAATTTTGTTTTAAAATATGGCAAATCCCATTCAAATCCAAGAATGATACTATTCACAAAAATGAAGAAAAATCTGCAAAGTTTCAGCAAAATCGCGAACTTTTTAATACGAATTTTCAAAAGAATTCAGGTATGCAGTTTTATAGCTCATTAAAGTTGAGTTTAATAATGTGCAAATTTCAAATGTCTAAAAATTCGCGTTGATTTTTGAAAATTTTTTTGCTGACTGTCCTTCGCATTTTTTCCATATAAAAAATTTTTCAGAATAGGACAGTCAGCAAAAAAAATCTCAAAAATCAACGCGATTTTTTAGAGATTTGAAATTTGCACACTGTTATACTAAAATTTAATGGGCTATAAAACGGCATAATTCTTTTTCTGCCTGAATTCTTTTTAGAAATTCATATTAAGACTTTGCAGATTTTTCTTAATTTTTGTACACAGTATCGTTCTTGGATTTAAATGAAGTTTGAATATAAGCCAATTTTTAATACAATATTAACAACAAGTTTTTAGCATGTGAAACATTGCGAATATTAACAAAGAAGAGCCGTACGCTCAATTTTGGGAGTAACAGTATTTTTTCGCGTTACAAAAATGCCGCTATGCTACGTAACCTCGAAAATGTGCCAATACCGCAATTTTCGTATTTTTAGGTTAGGATATTTAAAAAACGATGTCACAGTGTAATTCTGAGTTCAGATTCGAATTCAGCGTCCCAAAATCTATTGAAAATGGCTGCTAAGGCTAGCAATTTTTCATAGTTGTTTTTAATTTTTGTTCTTTTCGATCATATTTTTATCGTTAATCATAAATTTAATTTTAAGTTCGTCAACGAGTTGAAACGGTCATAAACATGCATTCTCCATTATGAAGGTTAAAAATTATCGAAAAAAAATATAAATCCAAAATAACGATTATTGTTGATCGAAGAAATAAAAATTACAAAGTAATGATCAAATTTTATCGAAAAAATTAAAATCCAAATCTAAGTATTAGTTCTGATCGAAAAAAATATGGACAAAAAAATTACGATTTTATAAATCTAATCAAACACACACGCAAAAATATTATTTTTAGCGGAAAAAACTAGAAAATATAAATCAAATGTAACAGAAAAAAGTAAAAATTGGAAAATTGTAAAAACAATCCAAGAATGGTTTAAAAGTACAAAGTTTAACATACAAAACACTTGCTATCCGAAAACTTAAAATAAAGTAATAAACTCGATCTGACTATAATTTTTTAAAATGTTTTTTGTTTTTGTATTTCACAGCAACTTATGTATGCTTTGCACTGACATTTGAACATAAAAAATAACGGCACAATTTTTGTTTAACCGGCAAAAAAGTCTCTGAAACCGAAATTGAAATCGGAGTCCAAATATTCGGTGGTTTTTTCTCTCAATCCTAGATCCCTTTCTCTTGTGTTAACATCCTGCTTTTGGAAAATCTATTCAGAAATATTCAGAAGAATTCGGTGTTAAATGTTAGACCGATTCAAGAGGAGAGAAAAGCCAGCTATCCGATCAAATGATTTAAAGCTCATCCAAAACACGAGACCGAAAAATATAGCAAAACTCCGTGTTTAGTTTTTTTCTATGACGTCAGGATTTTTTTCAAGTTATTTGTATTTTTAAAAATATTACTAATTTCAAAAATTATTTAAAAAATACAGTGCTGTAGAATTTACAAAAAAAAAATAAAAATTGTTTGGTTCACAAAGACGAATAGGTATCGAAAACGTCCATTTAATTGGTATCAATTTTTTAAGCTTACAAAGTTAGAACGACGAAATTCGAGGATGTGCTCGAGTGTATATTATTAACACATATTTTTTTCAATAATAAGTATTGCAAAATTTCAACGTTATTCAAGGATCAAATTTTAAAAGAATATTTTCAATATCTACACGTCCTTATGCACCAAAAAATTTAATATGCTTTAATTCTAGATAGTTTTGGTACCCATACAATTTTTTTAGATTGCACTGAATTTTTTAAATAATTTTTTGAAGTAATCCTATTTTTCAAATTTCAAAGTCCTTTAAAAAAATCTTAAGGTCAGAGAGAAAAACTAAAAACGCAATTTTACTATATCCATAAAAATCCATAAGAATCGGAGGGATTCGATTTGTATTTCAGTATTTCGTATTATTATGGCCTTATCGGATTTCCAGTGCCTCTTTTGGAATTAACAAATTTGTCTTTCATCGAATATTTATGAACGAGAAAAAATAAAACAAGGGCCTTATCTGCGCCTTCACAAAAAGTGGACTTAGCAACTTTTCACTCTTAGCTAGCGATGTCTATTAATTTATATACTATTGAATTCATTCCCATAGGCTCCAAAATTTAAACTTTAAAATTATTTTTCATTTACAATTTAAGAGTTCATTCAAAGTTTCGAGACTTTCGAGGTATTTTTCAGTTTAGGCGAATATACTATACCCCTATCCTATCTGGCAAATATTTTATGATTTTTTTTTTTTGCTGGCTCTTATAAAGACTTTACTATTGTGAGCCAAATCCTTATGCTATTACCAGAAAAGTTAGTTTTCACTTGCAGTCCAAGTCCTTCAGAACTACTTAGAATTTCGAATACACCAATTTTTTATCACACTCCACCCCACTCACAAATTGCGCTTTGTGCCGTTCCATGTCACTAGTTATTTTCACTATTACGCAGTGTTATTATTAACAAATTAATTTTTAATTATCAACATTTCTTGTTTTTTGTTTTTTTTTTTTCAAATCACTAATAGAAGGAGCTGCACCATGTCTCACCAACTGTTGGACTAAATAGACCAACTGAGTGACTCAGTGTCGTCTGCACATGTATGGCTTGTGTATGATTTGTGCTGATGGGCGTTGACGCTGGCAAGCATTGGAAGCAATAGTTCGTACCATAATTATTATCCCAAAACTGTTGTCCTTTACATTGAAAACGTACCGCAAACTCTATACGCTGACCAATTTGCAATGAATTGCCAAAGAGAAAGAAGGTAAATTTGTCAGAGAAACCATCACATGAATTCTCCGCATAGTTGGCCTGCAGGTCAGCATAGCTGCGCCAATTATCCAACGAGTATCGTATGTGTACCGATTTGTTGAAGTCCAAATTGCGTACACGCACAGTGCCGGTAATTGTTTGATTGATGTGATCTGTTACCGCTGCATTCTCCAGGGACACCTGCTTTTCGCGTACACGATCGAGAAATTTCGGCAGGCCACCAGGCTGTTGAAATAGCGGCATGAGCAGCTTGTCGGATTTTGGTCCCAGCTGTATGGGTGGTTCCGATTCCAGTACTTCCAAATCTTCAAATGCAGATTTTGGTATAGTTGGTATTTCATCGAGAAAGGTTTTTATGTCGGCCAAATCGAGGCCGAGTACATCGGCGAAACGTACGATTTTTTTGCGCCCAGGTGTACCGGGTGGTGTCTTGCCCGTCTTCAACGAAGAGCAACGTCGCACACGCTGTGGCCTACAGTCGTCTTCGTCGTCATCGTGGCCATCGAATGTGGACTTTTCTGCTTTGGCATCATTTTGTTTATGATTTGCGTCAGCTACTTGTTCCTGAATGCTTGTACGGGCGGACTCGTATGTGTCTAACCCTATTTGTACTTCGTTTTGGGCGTTTTTTTCTGCTTTGTTAATTGGTTCAGTCGTTGTCGCGGACGTCGTCGTCCCTTCGATATCCAATTGCTTTAAATTGTCAAGGTTTTCATGTGGTAAAGTTTCTTCATCCGTTTTGCCATTCAAGAGGTGTGATTGTGTGATTTCTGGCACAGTATTGATTTCAGTGTTTGCTTGTGTCTGCATAGACTCAATTAAATTGCCGATGCGCGCGCTATGTTCTTGCAGTTCATTGATTATTTCATCTTGTAAAGAGACAAGGTCTAAAGATGTGGGGCTCTTATCAGCATTCGCTGGCGCCACCAGTTGTTCCTCTTGCAGTTCCGTTATGGCTGTTGTTGCTGTTGTATCCGCTGTTGCTGTTGTTGTATCCGCTGTTGCTGTTGTTGTATCCGCTGCATTATCAGCATCTTCTAGACTCTTGCTTGTCACTAAAGATGTATCGTCATGCTCTTCATGATGTTTGCTTTCGTTTGTGCTGTAGCCATTGTGTAGTGTGGGCGCACATCCTGGTCCATCGATTGTGTCATCATCATCATGATGTATATGCTCAAAGTATGGCGCGTCGGCTGAACCCCGACTGCTCGAGGTCGATGCGCAAATGTAGCCCGATTCAGCTGCCGAATTGTGTGGTGTATTAGATGCGGTTTCTATCAGTCGTAAATATTCACACTCATCGGCTGGGCTGCCAGGACTTTCCAGCTCACAATCGAAATCAAAGAAGGAGTCCGATTCATGGCGTAATGGCTGCAGATCTGTGACTGTCTGCTCAGCATCATTTGTAGTTTGCCATGTGTTAGCTGCGTTGTTTTCATTTATTATCGATTCTTCTTCTTGCGACAGCGCGCCATCGTCGTTCTGAAATTTCGAAATACAGTTTTTAAACAACTATGGACTACACTATAGATACATATGCATACATACAAACAATACGTCTAACTTACCTGTGTGCCCAATGTACGCAATTTGGAGGATAAACTACGCGCGAAAGCCTCCGCTCTACCACGACATGATGACATGCCTAGTGTTGGAATAACGGATATTATACTGCAAGCTTTTGGGTCGGGTGTGCTACTGGTATTATCATTCAAAGGAATATCGCCGGGTCCGTTCATTGGCATTTACCAGAAACTTTTATTGTATCTACAAGTAGTAAAAAGAATACAAAGTTGTTCACATGTTAATCGGCAAGCGATAAATAGGATATTGCAAATGAATTTCAGTATTGCGCTCTGTTAAAAGCAATACAATATTTCTTGTTTCGAAGAAAGTTATATCTAAAATAGTTAAAACTACTGTCGCATACAAATCATTAGGCTTATTTGGTATTTGTTTTATATGCACTTGTATTCTGTATTTATGGTTTTTGGTAGATAGTCGAGTAAAGGTTCTAACAGCAATACAATGAAAAATCTATATATATTACACGAAGGCATTTTGTTCGATTTTCCAAAATTGTGTCAAATTAAAGCGCTTGGCCTGTAGATGTACAAACTGGTTTTATTTTTTCGAAAAGAGTTGCCACCTGTTGAACAATTAAAATCAAATTTTTCAATAGTCAATACCATCAGATCCGTACCGTTCGTTCGATTTTCAAAAAAGTCAAATTAAAGGTGTGGGGCTGTAGGTGTGCAACAAGAATTTATTTCGCTAGCTTAGAGTGAAAAGTTGCTAAGTCCACTTTTTATGAAAACTCATATTTTGATACAGGAGGCTAGAGAAATTGAATACGCATCGTTTCGAAAACTATAAAGGTACTTGTTTTATTTTTTCCTCTTCATAAGCAATAAAAGGAAAATTTGCTAAGTCCAAAAGAAGCACCGCAAATCCGATAAGGCCAAAATAATACGACATCTTTTAATAAATATCGAAACCTTCTGATTCTTATGGAGTTTTGCTTTGCTTTAAACGCGCAAAATGTTTGATTCAAAGTCTTGCGAAATAGTTAAAGAAAAGGGCTATAGAAAGATTTTTTCCTCTCCTGTAAAATTTTTAAAATGGGACTTAGCAACTTTTCTTTCTAAGCTAGCGATTTATTTTTTTTCTTTTAAGGAGTTGCCACCTTTTAAAAACTTATCTGTATTCAAATTATTTAAAAAAAAATTATCACTTATTCAAAATGGGTATTAATCGGAATGGTTTTGAAAAGCTTTGTTTTTTAACTTAACTATAGGCGGGTTGCCACCTGTTTAAAAAATAAAATGCAGTTTGAATTAAGGGAAATAGGTAAGAGAAGTATATATGTATCATCATATAGGTGCCAAACGAAATGGTTTTAAGAAAGTAATAGTTTGAAAATATTTTGAGCAAGGTTGCCACCTGCTTGAAATGTGGAATTTAGTTAACTTATACACAAATTATATGAAACATCCAAATATGAATGTCAAACGAATGTGTGTTAAGAAATATTTATTTTCAAAGCTAAGACTATTTTTGAGGTGATGGAAAAGGGTTGCCACCTGTTTAAATAGTTAAATTTAAAGTATTTAATAAGCTAAATGAAGTATTAAAATTTGGGTATAAATCTAAGTGGGTTTCAAAAATCCACGTGTTTAAAAAGTTACATTCAAACTATTTAATAAGTTCGACGAATTATTAAAGCATGGGTATCAGTCGAATTGGTTTGTAAACTCCTTATTTCTGACCTTTATTTAGGAGGGTAGCAAAGTGTTTGAACAATCAAATTCAAATGAGGCGTATTCTGGTTTTCATACGAATCGAAAATTTGAAATTTTTGTATAGAGAATGATGGGAAAATTTCATGATTTTCGATTCAATTTTGATGAAATTAAAAACCTGCACTATGCGAGACCTCTCTTCACTATAAAATGGCTACAAGGATTTAGATGAACTATGGCACTTTGATCGCTTATAAGTGTAACTAATATTTTGAATATTTTTTGGCTTTTGAAATTCAATTTTGAGCGTTTTAACGCCTTGCGTGTTCACTAGTATTACTATATTATCTGGCAAAAACTATAAATACCACAGTTACAGAGTACAAGGGCATATACAAAAAATCCCGCATACTGCTATTATTTTCTTCTAATTCATGTGTATTTCTGCTTTTCATGTTGATAGTATCGGTTTTATTTTCAAAAAAATTACTAAAAGTATAAATTACAATTAAAAAAGACGAAACCGATATAGGTTACGACACCACATATGTAGGTTATAAACAAGGCTAATAATGTCGATAGCTGTATTCGTGAAACCAAAAAATTATTTTAAAAATTCAGTGCAAAGTGAGTATCAAATTAGAGAAAAACCTCTGTGGAATTAAATCCGTTTGAATTTTTTGGCGCATAAGGACGATTAGGTATTAAAAATGTCCTTTAAAATTTTATCCTTGAATATCCTTAAACTTTTGCAATACTTATTTTTGAAAAAATTATATATTAAGGACTAATATACACTCGACCGCATACTCGAATTTTCTATACCTATTCATCCTTGTAAACTGAAATTATAATTTACAGAATTGGCTCTTTTATTTGGTACCCATACTGTTATTCTAAATTGCACTGTATTTTTTCAATAATTTTTGGAATGGGTCGTACCTTTGAAATTGCGAAGTCCTTTAAAAAAATACTGACGTCACAAAGTGGGCCAGAAACTGAAAAGCAGTCCAAAACCAATGTTATTTTAAAGTTTAAAATAATCATCTTATTTAATCAAGATACCTTGAAGTATGCAAAAAAAAAATAAAAATATTATGACATTTGAAACATTTATGTTATGTTCGTAACAAATTCAGAATCCTAAAAAAAATCTGAAAAAGCGTTTGTAAGCCACTGCTAGCCACCGCTGTTTAAAACAAAATATATAACGAATCATTCTAAAGCCAAGAATATAGTAATTAACTGTTAAATTTTCAAGAAAACGAGTGTGTGCCTATGGACATGTACGATACACGGCGTATGAGTAACCTTCCTTTCTGTTCATATTTCATACAAATAAAATAGTAGGGCTAGGAATTTTATGCAAATGCAATTAGCTATAATTTTTTCCAAAAAATTCATCTGAACAACTGTATTAAACTGTCATTGTTTCTATTTACACAAGGAATTAATAAAACTTTTCAATTGAAAATGAAAATATTCGGCTCTATTATGGTTGTCGACATCGACGTCGATGTCATTTTTTCGTAAAAAAAAAATAGCCCACATCAGTCCAACTCCGGTTTCGCTGATCGCAGTAGTTTTGCGAGGAACACCTTTCCGCAAAAATACTGTGGCTAGCGTGGGTCGATGTCGACAACCATAATAGCGCCGATTAATTAGTTTTGTCCCTTTTGACAAAAATAATCTAATTGCCGATGGCTAAAACTGCTCTGGAACTAATGAAAGCTTTTTTGGTTTTTTAAAGTTGTTGAGTTTTTTCATTCATTAATTAAATTATTAAAAATAAAAAATTAAAAAAAAAAATTAAAAATTTGGTTTTTTCTTAAAGAATAAAAAGATTGTAAAAAATGTAAAAATAAATATTAAAAGTGGAATGATTTAGTCCTGTAACCACCTTGTGGTAGACGCTGGATACGGCAAGTGTGGCAAATTGCCGGCTAATTCCATTTTTTAAGAATTATTAAAATCCATTTATCAATTTTAGTCAAATTAAAGGAATTTTTTAAAACACTTTGACATAAAAGCCACCATTTAAATTTTTTCAACTAAATTCGTATTTTTATTTCTTTAAATAATATAAATTAAATAATGAAAACGTTAGCCTTAGTTGATAGATAGGCAACCCTCCTCGTTAGTATTAAAGCTTGTTCAAAAACCTTCCCTTTGATACCTACGTTGTGATATTAAATAAGCATAAATTTTTTTAATAATCGCGATTGTAACTTTTTAGAAAGGTGGTACCTCCGTTCAAATTTTTATTTTTATTTTTTAATATCTTCGAACGGGTTTTATTTTACTTTAGAAATTTCGCTATTCCTTTGAATAATTATAAATTTTCATATAACTGGCAACACTGTTTTTTTTAACTTTTTAAAGAAAATACTAAGTACAATGGGAGAAAATAGAAAAAATCCGTTGGATCGTAATAAGCTATATCTGAGGTAACCAGATTTCTGTGGCCAAAAATCGGAACATTTCTAAAGTATCGAATCCGAACATTAAATTTTGTTTTTAGAATAAAAAGGCTTAATACAGTTTTATTTAAAACAAAACAAAGAGAAAACAAAATTACAATGAGAGTCTTAATAAATGAATAAAGAAAACACTCAAAATCGGGACTAAGTCGGTACAAATATGAAAAATTGGAAAACATTTGCGTCCTAACTTTTAAAATATACTCAGCGGGACAATTTGCTCAAAATCGGTGCTGTCCCGCCAAAATCGGTACGAATGGTCTATATGGTATGGTAGCTATACCATAAAAATTTTTTTCCCCCGATTTTTACACACGTAAATAGTCAAGCAACAATTTTGGCCACTTTTTCAGTCTTCTGGCCTACTTATTTTATTGCCTTTATGTTTATTAAATGCTAATTAGGTTGCACTCTTATAAAAATTTTTAACGTTGGAATGTGTACAAATATAATCCAAGATAATCGAATTTTATAATGTTATCAACTTTCCTAAATAGTTGCAAGACTGACAAAAAATGTTTTCGAAATTTTAATACTCAGTGCATTTGTTAACGATAATGGAATTTCTAATCTAATTGGCTTAGAAATTATACAATGAAGCATTACAAGCATTGAAGCGTGAATATCAATAACAATTAAAAACAAAAACACACAAATATAAATCGAAGGCAAATTAGCAATGATTTCCTTTATTTGTTTTTATTTGCCTTTTTGGCGATCGAGAATTGTGATCTGCATGGCTAAAAATATTTTCACTCTCTTACTTTGTGGTTCGTGTTAATTAAGGAAAAATAAAACAAATTTTATTGCTATTACTTTTTAGTAGGTTTACAAACATATGTACATACATACACACAAGCGCACACAAATCACTGCATACGCGCACACGTACATATACATACATATATGAAAGTATATAATGATGAAGCGTAATTGTTTATCTATATATAAAAATATCGCAAATTAAGTAAAAGTACATACATAAATAATTTTTCATTTCGCTTTTTAGCGATTTCAGCAGGGAAAATCGGAGCAATCGAATTTGCATATACATACATACATATGTATGTACATCCTTATACCTATACATATGTACATATTTGCTTTTTTTCACTTCGTTTATTTATTCGCTGAAATAATCTTTCAATTTAAAATGTCTCATGGAATGAAGAACTTTTAGCAACGTGCATCATTTATGTACTTGCATATGCGTTCATTTGTTTGTATGTATGATTGCACGTACTTATATATATATTATATAGTATATGTATTTATATAAACACGAAAGCCAACGACGTTGTCGGATAAGTACATATACATATGTACACTTGTGGTCAGCTGATTAAGTCAAGTGGCATTTTGGCTATTCT